CAGTGTGAAGTGTGTAGAGACCAGAGCCCGGCTCAGCAGTAAAGGTGGCCAGAGGCGCGTACGTGTCTCCGTCGGCACAAACCGCAGTCTCTCCAGAAGGCTCAATCCACACACCCACGTAACTACTCACGAGCGGCCTGACACCCACCAAGTTCCTGGAGAACGCGGGGACGTGGAAGCCCGTCAGGAAACCCGAGGGAACTGCTGGGCACAGGAGCGTAGTAGTGTAGCGAGCAGTGTCTGGTCCCAAAGTGGGATCAGCCAGTGCTACAGAGACCGGCGCAGGAAGCGGAGTAAGCGTCGTGTGGTCGCGGAAGAAACAGTGCGAAGCTCCGGAGTCCATAGTGAAAGACAGCGAAGTGTCTTCCAGAGCAGCTCCTAGACTAGTGTCTACACAAGTACCTACGCTAGCAACAAGCACCTCAGCAACACTAGCACCTAAGCTAACAACACTCGAGTAAACAGAGTCAAAAGCACTAGAGTCAACAACAGCATACATAGCATGCGGAGTTCCTAAGAGATCAAGCAACTGAGAAGCCGACATGCCCCACAGAGCGGGGCCGTACGTCTGAACAAGGGGAAACCAGTCAGGGGTAGGGCCGCCAACGCCGTAGGCCGCACGAAGTGTGTCAGTGAGCTGAGCAAAGCACTGACCCGGTGGGTCGGTGCGGCCACAAGGGAGGCCTCGGCGAGCACCTGTCTGAACGAGATAGGTGCAGGGAGGGTGGACAGCATTACGCGACGGCTGACGCGGTCCTGACCCCTGCCCCGGAGTCTGCTGCTGCCGCTGCTGCTGCTGCTGCCGCTGAGTCAGGTACCAAGCCGCCACTCTAGCACCTGCAGTTGGTGGACCAGCAGGTGCCTGACGAACCCGAGCGTCACCTCCACCAGCTGCAGCAGGGGAGTCACTAGCCGCTGCACGAGTGGCTCCTCCAACCTCTGTACTCCCGCCACCACCGCTCGCCACACCACCTCCGCCGCCTCCGCCCGCACCCTGACCGCCCCTCCTGCCACTCATACCCCTAGACCGCGAAGAAGTCGTAACAGCAGCTGCGGTCACGTCAGTAGCGGCAGTGGTGAGGGAGGCAGTAAAGGTGGGCAGCTGAGGGACAGTGCACCCGTGAAACAGTGGAGGGGGCACAGCACCAGAGGCGGAGGCTACCGATCGGAGGTTGCTCTCGACATCCTTGAGGGCAGACTCAAGGACCTCGATAGTGAGCTTGCTAGGGTGCTTCAGAAGAAGCGCGTGACGAACCGAGGCAAGGCGATCAGGGAGGCTAGTGGCGATGAAATGGATAGTAATCGCCATAGGGGGAGGGAGCAGTGCAAGCTGTGCGTCGGTGCAGGCACCATGGTAGCTAGAATCGCAGGTGAGCGATCAAGTCAGCAGAGCACTCAAACGAGGCGAGGTCAAGAAACAGGAACGGGAGGAACAGACGACCAGGAGAGACAGTGGTAGGAGTAGCGTAGCGGGCCTTGATCGCAGTCAGGAACTCACTAGCCATGCGAACCTTAGTGAAGTGGGCCTCCTCATACTCAGGGAGTAGGCTGCTGAGGGCGATGCAGGGGGCAGCGTCACGCGACTTCCACGATGTCAGGTCAGCACGATGGCAGGCATAATGGTCTCTGTCTGCATTGCTTGGGTCAGCGACTAAGGGTGCAGGGTCGTCGGGCTTATGAAGGTCGCCGGAAGCGTGCGCCCACAGAGACTCATCTACCTGAACCTGACTCTCTAAAATGCGGCGCGCACGCAGGAACCAGACCGAGAACTCGAGCGGCCTACCCTTGGCGTCAAAGTGCATGACCCTAGGGGTCGCCATAGCGGAAGCAAAGAGGTGGGAAGTGCTGCTGCCAAAACCCTAAACACTTAGAGCGGCTTAGTAGGGCGTGACTAGCAGAGTTGGAGGCCTAGGGCGCTACGGGACGCAGGGTAGGGCGCGACACGGCGCGACTAGAAGGGCGCGACGCTATGGGCAGGGGTAGCGCGACGTGTCGGGACGGGTTGCGCGACGCGACCGGACAAGACGGGCAGGCGCGACGCGGCGGGACGGGACGGGCAGCGCGGCGCGGACGGACAGCGCGACGCGGCGGGACGGGACGGGACGGGACGGGCAACGCGACGCGGTGGGACGAACAAGCGCGGCGCATGCGACGGGATGGGACGGACGCGACGCGACGGGACAGCAGGGACGACGCGACGGGACAGCAGGGGCGACAGGACAGCAGGGGCGACGGGACAGCAGGGGCGACGGGACAGCAGGGGCAACGCGACAGGACGGGACAGCAGGGGCGACGCGACGGCAGGCGCAGCGAGCGCTAGGGCACGAGAGAGACGAGCGCGATAGGCGCTAGGGGACTGTACGGGCGTAACGAGCACTAGGGTAAGGAGTAGCCTCGGGCGCTACGGACGTGAACGAGAGGAACGGGATCCCACAGGATCCTAACCCAGCTCTGATACCATGTCAAGAACAGAATGATAATTTCATTAAGGTTGGTTAGGGTACATAAACCTAACCCTAACAGTTGTACCCCATATGACACACATCACTAAGACTATAACATCTGACAGTATGCTTGGAGAATTCAGCCTATCATACCGATACTGTTACAGTACCGTAAGCCCCCGGATAGTAGCGCCCCTGGGGGTATAAAAAAACACTGTTTTTTTAGGGGTTGCGCTTATAATCGAGGGTTTTTATAAGCGCCGGCGCTTATATAATTACATTTAGGAAATGCGTATTTCTTACACCAAATTGTAGATCACGTTCTTGCAATTTGAATCGAGTCGAAACTATACAGGGCTGGAATTGAGAATCTCGCGCCAGTTGGCAGGGAATGATTCCCTGCCAACACACACAGTCAGAATGAGTCAACTTACGCTGCCGACAGCTCATTCTGACTGGACGCGCAGGCACTGAGCCGAGCGAGGTGAAGGGCTTCGAAATTCAATCATGTGGGAATGGAAAATGTGAGTTTCGTTACAACGATTTCAGTACAGTTATAGCAAAACAAAACAGAGGGTGGCGCTTATAATCCGTAAGCCTTCAGGGGTGGACTTATAATCGAGGACCGGATATAAGCGCCGTCATCATTTTATAAGCGTCGGCGCTTATCCGAGGCCTGCGCTTATATCCGGGGGCTTATGGTAGTTGCAAGCAGGGCTGATTTTATCAGGGTAATTACCCTGATTTCAGGGTGATTTCAGGCTTTCCACTTCGTGGAGACTGAAATTTCAGAGTTATTGAATTTCCAGCCATGATCCAATCAGAGTAATAGTTTAGCTATCCCTGATTTTGAGTACAGTGTAACAGACTAGGCTGTTAGTGGACCCTGACTTAACAGAGTATCGACTGTGTGGACCCTGACTTATCGAGAGGAAGTTTCTCGGAAGTTTCCTTCCGATGACCCCGCCTTGGATTGATCGCAGTGATCCCCCCACACGTGCGTAATCCCCCCCCTTCCCGCTTTATCGAGACGAAGTTCCTTCGAAACTTCGTTTTGATCGAAACTTCGAGACTTTATGGAGAGTGGGGATATTTTCCCCGGTAACAAAGCGCGCTGATGGAATGGGTTTGAAACCCGTAGAATTGGTTAAGGGATGTAGCCCTTTTCAGGATCGTAGTGTCTTGGATTAAAGACTAAGTATTGGCAGCGGAAGACTTGTAGCTTGTCCAACTTGTGTGGAGTCAAGCTTGTATATGAAAGTTGTAAGTTATAAAAATTATATGTGTGTAAAAATTATGTTTATGAAACATGCATACAGAGGTTTTATAGTCCTAGCAAAAGTACCTGTTCGTATACTGTAGACGAAGTACCTATTCGTCACTCTAGGGGTGTTGACCTATAGACACTAATGAAAGTGGCTATTTGTTGGCCTAGGCCTACAGCTACTTTGACTAGTCAGCTGAATCAGAATGCTGACGTCATCAAGTTCGAGACCCACTATTGTACTGTTTCGATATTGTATAGTCTAACTGGGAATTTCAGAAATGCTAAGAGACCTACATCTCTCAACACTCCCCTTCATTTCTGCAAATTCCACACTGTAAAGGACGTGTTTGTATGTCGTGGTGACGTCATGAGGTCGTCGTCACTTACTTAGACGTGGCGAAATTGCGAAATTTTCACCAGGATAAATCGTACTCTTTTCCCTCCTCAATTTCGCAAGACGAAACGCGAAGGGTCGGATTGTTGGGGCGAATGGTACACACTCCCCGTAGGACACCTCGCCACTTGCGCGTGGGACCATGCTGAGGTGTCAGGGCCGAATTTCGGGGAAGGGGAATTCGACAGTTGTAACAGCTTTGCGCGACGCGATTTCGGATGGAGGACAAAATCGATAGCTTCTTCGGCAACTGTTGCATGGTTGTCGAAATTGTCGTCGAGTGCATCACGTGACGGAAGATCGGCGATGCTGGCAGTTAGCAGTGGAGAATCGGATTTCGGGAATTGTCGAGGCTGCGGAAAAGTTTCGATAACTGAGAAATTGACAGGAACTGCCTCGGAAAAAATTGAAAATGGCTGACGGTGTAGAAAAACGGTGCGTGTCGAGTGGCGGAGAAAATTTTTGACGCCAAATCGAATGAGACGAAGGAAGCAGAAAGACTGCTGCAACGGCGGTAAAGACGCGTGCACCGACAGCAGACGTCCAAAAAATAAAATCGTCAATGCGTTGGTAAATAGACTGGAAATTTTTCTTGGGCGTTGATTCTTGTCTCCAACGAGCGTGCAAACCCGCGTAGTGTAGAGGCGAAATAGGAAATGTCTGCGGAACGGGCAAAAGAAAACTTCCCGTCGAAAAGGGTGGTGGGAGTCCATCTGCTGCTGGACGATGGCCAGCGGGAGGACGTCGTACTGAAGCTCGGAGGGGTCCATCGGGAAACTTGGAACATCTCCAGTCTTGTGACAGAGTTCCAAAAATCACCCCAGAGAGAAACGGAGGAGCTGCTAGGTAACATAGCAGAAAAGTGTTAGCTGCTGTAAGTGTTACCAGTAAAAGCATGGTGACTATGGAAATTGCAGAAGTGCGTGGACGAGACGTTTCGAATACAGGAAGACGTTGGCGAGGTAAGGAAATTTCCGCCATTTGCATGTCTTCAACAGAATTTTCCTGAGTTGGAATTGGAAATTGACTTCCTTGCAAGTCATTTTCTGTTGCAGTAGAGAAGATTGTGGCTGCTACAGGTGAAGCTGAGACTGCTGTAGAACTGCTGAACATGGTGGCAGCTGCTGGAAATGTTTCTTGGAGCTCAGTGGCTACTGCAGGTGTTTCTTCAACCTGAAGACTACGAAACTGTAAGAGGAGTACGCCATTGTGAGGAATGGCTTTCCCCAATAGTAGTTGGCCTTTGCTGAGTAAAAACTCATGGCTGTTGATATCTCCTTGCAGATGAATTTTCTTGGCCAGCAATTGAGAAGCTGAAAGGAGATTGAAGGCCAAGCCTTCAACCAGAAGAATATTAGTAACTTCAAGGATAATGTCAGTTGAAGTAGATTTCAGCAGTATGTTGCCAGTGGAATGAGCGGTTAACTGTGTGTTATTTGCTGTTGTAATGATGCAGGGGCGCTGAAGTGGCTGATGGTTAAAGATGAAGGGATTGTCAGCTCCACACATGTGTTGTCCACAGCAAGAATCAAGAAACCATGAATTTGCAGGTATGGTTGAACTGTGTGGGAAAATATTAGTGCAGTTGCTTGAGCTGTCAGGTTTGGTTTGCAGCATAGTCATGCAACTAACCACACTGTGGTTTGTCTTTGCAGGAACTGCAGTTGGTGGTGGTGGTGGTGGTTGTTGAGACTGTTGCACTTGTGTCTGAAGTTTCTGGAGTTGCTGCTGTACTTGCTGAAGTTGCTGGTGAAGCGTTGGAGTCTGAAGTGGTGACTGTGACTCAGTCTGAATCTTGAAGCGACAAGTTGATGAAGTATGCCCAGGTTTCTTGCAGTTGTCGCAAAATATCCTTTGTTGTCGGTTGTTGCTGTAGAAACTTGCAATTTCTGACGGTGGATTTCTTGATTGGTGCAGGTCCAAGTCATTCTGCTCCGCCAGAAGAGCCGCACAAAGAGCTCCTTCAGATAAGTCCCCTTGCATTCGGAGAACTGTTCGGCATTGTCTCCATTCCGGTCCTAGACCCGCAAGTAGCACTGTAATAAACATCTCTCTAGGAAAGTAGCCGCCGCATTTCAGCAATTGATCCCTTAAATTTCTGCTCCTGTTGATGTATGTTGACGCTTTCTCGCCTGGCTGCATCTGGATGTTGGCGAGCTGGGATAAAATCTTGCTTTGAGAAATTGCATCTCTCCCCATGTAGAGGTTTTGCAGGTAACTCCAGGCAGCTTCAGCAGGTGAGTTGCCGGTGTTAAACGATCGGATGCCCAGCTGCTCCATGGCTGTCAAGTTGCGAATCAAAATAGTATATGCTGTTAGTGACTCACTCGTGAATCTCTGCTGTTGCATTGGTGTGTCGTTGGCATGAAATGGTGAAGAACCATCGAAGAGGTGCCATATGCCAGCAGCCTTCACAAGAAGTTCGAATTCAAAACTCCTGGTATAGAAATATTTGCCGTCAAATAGTGTTGTCGTCTTGATTTTGGTCACTTTGACGAAGCTCATAGCAGTTTGCTGACGTGCTTGTTGATGGTCTTGTGCGGGTACAGCATTATTGACTGGTGCTGCAGCCATTGTTGTATGTTGGAAGCGTAGTTGAGAGTTGTCTTAATCCAAAACTGCTCTCATACCATGATGGAATGGGTTTGAAACCCGTAGAATTGGTTAAGGGATGTAGCCCTTTTCAGGATCGTAGTATCTTGGATTAAAGTAAAGACTAAGTATTGGCAGCGGAAGACTTGTAGCTTGTCCAACTTGTGTGGAGTCAAGCTTGTATATGAAAGTTGTAAGTTATAAAAAATATATGTGTGTAAAAATTATGTTTATGAAACATGCATACAGAGGTTTTATAGTCCTAGCAAAAGTACCTGTTCGTATACTGTAGACGAAGTACCTATTCGTCACTCTAGGGGTGTTGACCTATAGACACTAATGAAAGTGGCTATTTGTTGACCTAGGCCTAGAGCTACTTTGACTAGTCAGCTGAATCAGAATGCTGACGTCATCAAGTTCGAGACCCACTATTGTACTGTTTCGATATTGTATAGTCTAACTGGGAATTTCAGAAATGCTAAGAGACCTACATCTCTCAACACGCGCGTTACTACTCTGATGTTCAGTTCTCGACCCTGAACAATCAGTGTTAACTCCTTTACAAACCTGAGCAATCAGGGTACTGCTTTTCTGGAAAATGTGCACCCATAATAGAGGGGGGAAATTTTCCCCGGAATCAGGGAAGCTTAAAATGAAACGTCAGCCCTGGTTGCAAGGTTACCACCCAACTTGTATAACAAAAAAAATCTGTTGCTCCATCCCCTGGATATAAGCACATGCGCTTATAGAATACTTTGAAATGTCAAAGGCAAAATCAAATTGTGCTTGCTCTTACTGTTTTATTGCGGTTTGTTTTTTCAGAGAGGAAAAAACTGTGCTTGTATTCTCTTCAACCTTCCTTGTATCGGTTTGGACAGTTCTCGAGAATGCTCGTTTCGTGCCTTCTGCGGTTTGACGAAAAAACAACTCCAAGGGGTGAATGGAATGCCGCACAAATGGACGTGCCTACGCAATTGCTCGACGACTGCCCGTTGCCCAAAAATCGTTGCTCGAAACGCATTCCAGACACCAGTCCAACTCGGAGCCGCACCGCCTGCTGCCTGTTGAGTGACGCATGCTGGAGGAAAGATGGTTGGACCTGGTTGAGTTCGGTCAAGATGGTTAGCAGCTGGGTTGAGCCACACTGCACTCACTTCATGGAGCATTCCCTATTCCCTCCCCACCTCTATCCATCTCTAGTTCGACAAGCTCTCGCCTTCCCAATTACAGCCCATTTCCGCACTTCGATAAGTTGTTTAGCAGTCTAGCCAGCATCCTAGCTTCCTGCGAGTAATTTCCATCAACGACTGGGCCTAACAGGATCTGCTTCACCGGTGCCGTAGAGACTTATCGCATGGCGCGTTCCCCGCTGATATATGCTGCCGTGCTTGCTCTAGCTGTAGCGGTGACGGTGACGGTGCCCCTTTGCGAATGCGCCGAAGCCCCTCAGAGGTAAGGTTCTGCTCTCGACGCATTTGAAGCGAGCGTATGCATTTTGAGTTCAGGCGAAACAAAACCCATGAGAGTCGGCGAAATTCAGAAACCTGAATTTAACATGCACAGGAGATTTTTCATGGGGGTGGTGGGATCACTGAAATTTGGGAAGGTGAACCCCCTCTACTCAATGTCAGTAAAATCACCTCACCAAATACTCGCTGAATAGCATACTCAAGGAGAGCGAAGAGGGTAACGCGGCTGCCTTCACACCTCGCTGCGCCTCCCTTCATTCCCCGCCGCGCCTCCTCTCCCACCTCGCCGCGCCTTCTCTCGCGCGCCTCCCGTCGCACCTCGCCGCGCCTTCTCTCGCGCGCCTCCCCTCGCATCTCACGGCCCTCGTAGCTCGTGGGCAGCAGTCGTCCACTCCCTCTACCAACTCCTCGCCCATCTCACATACTGCTCACCTTGCCCTCCCACTGTCGGTGCGTCCGCCCTCTCTCGTTTGGCGGGCTCGCCATCTAACCTCCCGGGACCCGCCAGTCTCACTCTCGCCGCGCCCGTCTTCTGACACTCCCCGCCCTTTCCTTCGCACGGCGAGTCGTTTCCCTCAATTGAACCCCCAGATTACCCTCACTCTCCCCCAGCCTCCGCTCAGTTTCCCCCCCCCTGCTTCCCATACTTTTCCCTTCTTCTCCTCAATCCCCCCCCTGCTTCCCCATACATACCCCCCTGTTTGCCCTCAGTTTCCCCCCTGCTTCCCCACACTTTCCCCCTGCTTCCCCTCATTCCCCCCCCTGCCTCCCCTCACTTCTCCCCCTGCTTACCCTCACTTTCCCCCCAGCCTCCACTCAGTTTCCCCTCTGCCCTCAGTTTCCCCCCTGCACTTTCCTCCACTCATACGCTCCGTCATCCCCCTGCGTACCCTCCCTTCCCTCTGTTTCCACTGTCCCTATCCGGCCTGTGCCACCTTCCCTCTCCCCTCTCTCCCCTGTTTCCCCCTTCCCTACATGTTTCCGCTCCCATTTCCCCTCTTCTCTGTCCGCTTGACTTCATGTTGTGCCTCACAACCACCTTTTTCTTCTCCCATCCCTTCGTCGCATTCTCTCCCTCTCTACTTGCTTGACTCTCAAAGCCCTCCCCTTGCGCCTCTTCCATCCCCTCCCTCCCATCACCGCGTGCCAGCGTCGCCATAACGCCATCCAGCAATGCTGCCCGCGCCACCTATCGCAGCGAGATATTCCAGGCTGACGTCAGCATAGTGGTGGACGAGAAGTCCATTCTGTTTCAGGTAAGCACATTCCCATCCCTCACGGCCACGCCTCCCGCCCGCCTGCCTCATTGCGGTCGCGTGGCGGTGGACCCTGCTTGAAACCCTTTCCGCTCTCCTTGACTGCAACCTCTTGCGCCCGCCCTTCATTCACCCCCCTGCCCGGCAGGCGAGTCCCCCTCCTAACTTCAAGGACCTCTTCGCCTACACCAACCCCGCCTACGAGTCCTTCCCGCTCCCTCCTGGTGCGTATGCCGCGCATGCAGCATGCTCGCCTGCTCCGCATTGCCGCATGCCCCGCATAGTGCCCCATAGAACGCCTGGCCGGCCGTAGAACGTGTCCAAGTTGGACGTCGCACGCTGTATCGCATGTGTTGTTTCGTCGCCATACCAGAAACTCCCGCCTCGACGCCTGTTATCGCTGCCGTAGGTTTCACACGCGAGAGAGCGCGCCCGTGTGGGGTGGGGTGTGGTGCGTGGCAGGGTCGCCCAGGACGGTGTTCAACCACGTGGGCCTCATGTACAACCCCTTCGGTGCACTGCCCTTCCTCGCTGGTAACCTCCGCTCGCTCCGTCATTCCGTCTTGCCCTGTTGCATTCCACTCCCATCTCATGCTACTCAGATCCCCTCGCCCCACACACTTCCGACTGAAACTCAATGTTAATTTCTGTGTTCTCTCGATCCCCGTTCCACCTTCTCTCCCGCTCCTCCCTCGCGCTGCACCTCGGCGCGGCGGCTGATTGTGCGGGCGTCAGGGCAGGAGGACCCAACGCCAGTGAACGGCACGCACGCGGTGAACGAGACGTGCGTGTCGTGCTTCCTCTTCATCACCTTCTTCCACGTCGACCCCGCCCTCGTCAACACCACGGGCGCCGGCTGCGCCTTCAACGACAACGGCTTCTGCAGCGTCACCAAGGGCACGCCCATCTTTCAGCCGCCCGCCAAGGACCTGCTGGGCGCCACCTTCGCGTCGTCCTCGGGCACCATGTACAAGAGCCGCCCGCTGCTCTCGCCCTTCGGCTCCAAGCTGCTCGCTAAATCCGTCCTCACGCCGCTGTGAGTTGTCATGCCCGCGCTGTACGCCAACATTCCGCTCACCCGCTGCCTCCATCCCTTCATTCCCGGCCTCGCTCCCCCAACCAACGCGCTTGCCCCCCCTCTCACTTCGCAAGCCAATTCCTCACTGCTCCTCTCCAATCATCCTTGCCGCACATTCCTCCCTACCAACCTCCCCCATGCGTGCCTGCTTGCCCGTGTGAGTGCAGTGCAGCGCCGCGGGTGGGCATGCTATGGACGAGCAGCGTGCAGCCGCCAGCGCTGTTTGAGTACGACGGCAAGGCCACGCTGGGCCCCACCAACTACTACGCCACCAGTGATGCCCAGGTGCGCGCCAGCAACCCCCTCTCTCTCTGTCCGCCGCCCTCTCTCTCTGTCAGCCCCCTCTCTCTGTCAGCCCCCTCTCTCTGTCAGCCCACTCTCTCTGTCCGCCCCCTCTCTCTGTCCGCCCCCTCTCTCTGTCCGCCCCCTCTCTCTGTTCGCCCCCTCTCCCTGTCCGCCCCCATGCCCATGCCCCTGCCACCAACAATGCGCTCCCATGCTCCCCCCCTCCAGGTGTTAGGAATAGGGCAGGCGGTGAGCAAGATGTACGTGGACCTCTACGCCAGCTGCTTCACCGCCAACCCCGACACCACGTGCTCCCAACGAGCACTGATCATAGCGAGCAACCAGCTACTTCCCCTCTCCGTTTTCCAAACTCCTTCTCCTGCCCATGTCCATACCCCTGCCACCAACAATGCGTTCCCCCTGTCAGGTGCTGGGAATAGGGCAGGCGGTGAGCACCACATATATCGACCTCTATGCTGGCTACTTCTCCGCCAACCCGGAGACGCTCAACACGCCCATCACCACCAGCGTGTTTGACCGCCCCGCCAAGTACCAGGTGTCGGGGCTGTACCCGGGTGCAGCCTACTCCCAAGTGACGGGGTACCGCGGCATGTCCACCTTCACCTTCGGCTTCACCAACTTCACCCAGGCAAGCGCTGCTCTGCTCTGCCCACCACACAGTGAGTCTGCACCTCTCTCTTGAGCAATCCACTCCACGCTGCTCTGCTCTGCCCCCACACAGCGAGTCTGCACCTCTCTCTTGAGCAATCCACTCCACGCTGCTCTGCTCTCCGAATTGCCATTGTGAAGTTGTTGCTTTGCCCTGATCCTCGCATCTGATTGGCTGATGGTGGGCATATGTGAGCAGGTGGAGTCATCAGAGGCACCCAGGGGGGCCAATGCATCAAGTCGCATGCAAAGATGCATGCGTGCTCTTGTGATGTCCGCACTGCTGCCATTGCTGTTGCTCCTTATTGCATGATCTTAGGCGTGCCTTTGAAGCAGAGCCCCGATCATTGCTCGATGAAGCGCTATGTTTTTTTTCCAGTATAATTACACATGCGCAGCTTTGGTAAGGTACGGTACGGTAGTCTGTCAATCAAATATCTTAACACTTTGCCATGTCCAAACAGCTCTCCTGAGTAGATGTTGAGGCACATTTTCCCAACAGCCACCTCAAGCCTTAGGGCGCGTGTTATGAGTTGTTTAAGAGAGTGCGCGGAATAACGAATAACGAGAGTGTGACTCAATGAACTGACAATACAATGAAGGCACGAGATTATACCGTCAGCCCCCGGATAAGCCCGCCCCTGGGGGTACAATAAAACATGTTTTTTTAGGGGGGTGGGCTTATACTCGAGGAAGTTTTGTTGGGCTGAGAAAGCCCTATAGGATCTTTACAGGACAGAATTCAAGAGTAGGATGATGTAGTAGCGGAAGCGTTTTAATAAAGGATTGTGAACCACCTTGCACTTGTACCGTATTCTCCCGGACAAAACACCCCCCCGTAATTGTACACCCCCGGGTAGCTTGTGCGGGGTGGGTGTTATGATAGACCTCGTTTCTACTATACCCCCCTTTTTTGCTAATTTTCTATAACACCCCCCTTTTCTTACGATTTCGTTATAATAGTCGTTAACGAGTAGCTGCAATATTGAAGAATATCGCGAAAATTTCTCCCTATATGAAATTTCGCGGTACATTCACTTACAATCTACCGAGATTTCCCCCCTCGCACTACTTCGCTGTGACCACGTGCAGGCGAATCTTCCGCTGCAAGTGGCAAGAGAGGTGCCACATGGCATTTTCGTGGGGGTGATGAAGCTCGTGGCCGAAACCCACATTCGCGCCTCAGACAGTGATGTTAAAATGAAAATCAAAACACCCACGTTGTCTAATTAAATAAACACTAACACTAAAATATTCCATATGTAAAAGACCCGGGTATTATGTATTTTTTTCCTATGAGGAGACCCCCCCCATTTTTTCCCTGTATTTTTAGCTATACCCTAGGGTGCTATGTCCGGGAGAATACGGGTATGTGAGGGCAAAGTAAGTTGATTAAACAAAAGAGATACAAGCTTTTATAAGAATACAGAGGAATATGAAGAGATACAGTTAATAACTGTTTTACTGTTGCTGTTGCGGTTCGATACAGTGTCGACTCGGGCAACTGCTCAGTATCGAGACAGTTTTTTGTCCTTGCTGTCGCGCTGCATTTGTCAGGTCAAAGGTCGCTGACCTTTGACTTTCCCGTAACCTCCAACAGTTATTCAACCTCCGAGGGTTGACTCACCTCACCGATGTTTCGATACGGTCTGCTTCGCTTCTGTCTTGGTGTTTCGACACGACAGAGGCGCTTAAATCAGTTGTTTCCAACACTCCCCTTCGCTTCTGGAGTGTCGCTGCAGGTGACGTGGCTTTGTCCAGTCAGCAGCATGCAATATTCGAACTTCGACTTTCCGAGCTTCTTGGTCAAGTAATCAGCTGCCATCTCGGATGTGGGGCAGAAAGACAGCTCAAGTCTTCCCTTCTCGATCTCGTCCTTTACGAAGAAATATCGCAGGGCGATATGTTTCGTTCTGTTCGCGAATCCATTTTTGTTGGCGATGCGAATTGCCGACTGGTTGTCGCAAAATAGGGAGAAGCTGGGTAACTGGGCCAGCTTCGCTTCCTCCAGCAGTTCGCGAAGGTACAGTCCTTCCTTGGTGGCTGAGCAGAGTGCGATGTATTCAGCTTTAGCTGAGGAGAGGGCGATTAATTCCTGTTTGCTCGACTGCCACGAAATAGGTCCGATAGGCTCGAGACGGTAGATATAGCCTGTGCGCGAGCGCCTGTTGTCAGAATCTCCGGCGTGGTCGGCGTCGACGTAGCCGATTAGCTTGGGCGTTGTAGTTATATTCTTATAGTAGATCAGGCCGATCGTCGGGGTGCTTACGAGGTAGTGTAAAGCGCGATCGAGCTCCTTCATGTGTTCGTCTTCAGGCCTTTTGAGGTAGGTGGCGAGTTGACTTGCTGAGTATGATAGGTCTGGACGGCAGGTGACGGCCGCGAAGAGAAGGCATCCCAGCTTTCTCTGGTAGTTGCGTATGCCGGCGGGTTTCAGTGGAGCAGATTCTGCCTTGTCATTTCCTGCCGTGTAGCGGTATGGCGTGGAGATGGTAGTTGGCATGACTGTGAACCGTTTGGCGATGGTGTCGGCATACTTTGCGGCGTTGAGATAGATCGCGTCTTCTCCTTCTTGGATGTTGAGGCAGAGGTATTGCGTGACGGTAGATGAAACCGTGAGCGTAAGTTCTTTCTGTAACTCCCCTTCGAACCAGGTAGTGATATTGTCGGTTGACCCAATGTAAAGCAGATCGTCTACGTAGACGATTAGTAGAATGTAGTCGTCGCCTTTCGTGAATCGGTACATGCCTTGGTCGTGCGGCAGCTGCTTGAATCCGATGCGAGTGAGCCGAACGTTTAAGTACTGCTGCCACAGTCTCGGGGCCTGTTTAATCCCGTAGAGAGATTTTTGCAGTTGACAGACTTGATTGGGCTCTCCGTGAGAACCATGTGGGAGTTCGACGTAGATTTTTGCGTCGACAGGTGCGTAGAGAAAAGCATTGGCGACGTCGATTTGCCGCAGTCTCTTCTTTTTCATAGCGGCGACCGCGAGAAGAATCCGTAGTGAAGTATGTCGGCTGACCGGAGCGAATGTCTCGGTGAAGTCGCGTCCATGCTCTTGGTCAAAGCCACGTACGACCCAACGTGCTTTGAACTTGTCGATGGTGCCATCTGCTTTCGTCTTCACACGGAAGACCCACTTCCCGGTGAGTATCGTCTTGTTTCGTGCCACGCCAATAGGAACAACCTTCCAGGTGTTGCGCTCCTGTAGTGCTTTCAATTCCTTGTCCATGGCTTCACGCCATTTTTCCCTATGCTCCCCCCCAGAGCCTGCTGAACTGTGGCAGGCTCCTTAGGAGGATCCGTGCCGTGGACCGCGGTGACGAGACCAAGTATCTGAAGTCCACTCTGTGTGTAGCGGGGGAGTGTTGTGTCCGCGTGATAAGCTGCTTCGTCACCGGCTTCTGGGTCAGGTATGAAGTTGGGCCCTAGGCATTCTGCTTCGTTGGTGTTGACTTCTGCAGGTGTAACGTAACCAGTGTCGGCGAGGTCGAAATAAGTTTTGGCGTTGACGCTTTCGCGAGGATTTTCGTCATCCATCGGGATGGGCACGGAGCAGTAAGGGAGTGGTCCTGCTTCGTTTGAGGCGTTATCCACATTCTGCTCGTCCCAGTCAGCTTCGTCTGCTGTCGAGGTGAAGTGTCGGTCACCACGGAAGCCACCTGTGGGATCCCGATTTTCTTCCAGGTTGGCAAGGTATGTCGGAAGGGTGAGTCGTTCGTAGAAAATGACGTCACGTGCTGCCACTGTTTCTTTGGAGTGGACGTCGAAAATCTTCCACGCGTTGTAATTCTTTTCGATGCCCAGGTGTAATCCCCACTGTGCGCGTTGGGAAAATCGGCCGGCTCGTGCAGATGGGGGTCGGTACTGTACCATGCAGCCGAAGACTCTTAACATTTTTGTGTTGCCCTGTTTTCCTGTCCACAGCAGATGCGGTGATGCGTTGTTCGGCAGTGACGACGACGAAAGCAAGTTGTGCAGCATGACAGCGTGGTCCATCGCTTCAGGCCACTGGTGATTGGGCAGTCGCATGCCACGCAGTAACTTGCGCATGGTGTTCTGGAGAGTTCGATTCATCCGTTCCGCTACGCCTTGCTGTTGATGGGCGTAAGGAAGCGAGATGAGCCTTTTGATTCCCTTTTCTGCCAAGAACTGCTTGAACCTATGTGAGGTGTATTCTCCTCCTCCGTCTGACTGAAAGATTTTCAGTTTCTCGCCTGATTCTCGTTCTGCTACTGGAAGCCAAGCGATGAAGGCTTTGAAGGCCATGTCCTTGCTCGGGAGATTGAGGTGCCATACGTAACGTGTAGCTGCATCGATGAACGTGATGGTATAACTGTATGCTCCTTGTCCGGGTTCGCGATTGTACAGAATGTCGCTGTACACCTTCTCAAGTGGTGCGCAAGCTGGTGCACTGGGGTTGTGGTGAGAAGTGAAGGGTCGATGCGGTAAGTCAGCTTCGGGGCAGGTAAAGCACGTTCCTCGCGCTCGGCGAAGTTCAGTTCCATCGGTTAGAAGTAGTGAATCTTTGTCGAGCACTCCTGCTCTGATTGTGTTGTTTAACACCGTGTTGCTTGGATGTCCCATCCGTGCGTGCCAGATGTCTTCGCTGGCGCGATGTCCGGGTGAACGACGATACAGATCGGAGTTGGAGTAAAAGGCGGCGGTGAAGTTGGCGCTTCTGTGAACTTCGCGAGGAGTGGGAGTTAGCTGCTGCGCAGGAGTCGGTGAAGTATTGTCGATGTGTGGCGATGTCGTTGAGGAACTCGCGACTGGTGTTGTAAGTGTTGTTGGTGTTGCCGATGTTTCTGCTGCTGCCGTTTTTGTTTCTGCTGCTGCCGGGTGTTGAATCGTTGCTAACGCTCTTGTTCGTTCTGCTTCAGGGATGGTGTGCGAGTACCAGAATCCTTCTGGACTGAAGTCGGGGTCAAGATCCGGTGGATGTGTCCAAGAAGTAAAGGTGACAATCCCGTCCCTGTC